TTTATTATTAATAAAATTATAATATTTAATAAAATTAATAAATATAATATATCGATTTTATATGCTTATTTGACTAAATTGATACCAAATTGAGGCTAATTTTAGGCTAATTTATGGTTATTTAAATTCCGAATTGATGCTGAATGATGCTGAATTGAGATCAATTTTAGGCTGATTTATGGTTATTTAAGTTTTGAATTAATGCCGAATGATGCTATATTAAGGTCAATTTTAAGCCGATTTATGTTATTTAAGTTTTGAATTAATGCTGAATGATGCTGAATTAAAGTCAATTTTAGGCTGATTTATGGTTGAATTTAATCTGAATGGCTATGTCCAATTGGAGTCGATCAGCGTCTATCGACGTCTGAATTATTGCCAAATTGAGGCCAGTCTTAGGCTGATTTATGGTTGAATTTAAATTTTGAATTGATGCTGAATGACCATGTCCGATTGGAGTCGATCAGCGTCTATCGGCATCTGTTTGTGTTGATCAAAAAACATGGTAAATCAACCGTAAATAGTATCAAAATCAGCCTAAAATCGGACATCTGATTTTTAGCTGATTTGGACTATTTTGACTAGTATTATTATGTTAAATAAAGTATTAGTTTAGTGCAGTCTAAATATAATTTAAGTTTAATTTAATAATCTTACTATAATAAATATAATTTATATATAATTTTATAATCTTAGTATAATAAATATAATTTAAATATAACTTTATAATCTTTAAATTGCAATATAACTTTTATATTTTTCATAATCTAATTTATAATCTAAGTATGCTAGTAAAATTTATTTATACTTGATTAATTTAATTATATTAATATTTTTTTAATATTTTTTTAAAGCTTTATTTTCTATTAAATTGTTTTATTTATTATAATTTAACTGTATTAATTTGATCTAATTATATCATTTTTACTTATTTTCTATATATTTTTCATTTATTTTTATATTAATAATTATTATATTAATAATTATTAAGCTTGATTTAAGATTATTCTAGTAGTTTTTATACTAATAATACTTTATTTATTTATAATTAAAATTTTTAAGATATTTGAAAAATTACATGATTTCTTTACTTAAGATAAATAAAATTTTAGTTATATAATGTTGTTTATTAAACTTGTAATATAATTATATTTTAATTTTTAAAATATAATAATTTTACTTTCTATAATTAAATTTCTGCAATTTTAAGCTTAATTAAAAGAACATATTAAGAATATTTTAATAATACTAAAATTGTATAAATTTAATATCTGAATTTATTATATCTTAAGTTTAAAATGTATATATACATTACAATTATATATTATATTTTTATTATATTCTTAGAATATTTATAAAAATATATTTTAGTATTTCTGAATTCAAATATAATTTAAATGTGATTAGATAATAAGTATTATACATCTTAATTTATAATTTTATTTTTCTAAAACAGTAATTTAAATTTTAAATAAATGTTTTTTCCATTAATTTATCTTATTTTTTTATAGTTACTTAATAAAATTCTCAGATTTCAATAGGATTATTGGCAAAATTATAATAAAACCTTATTGGTAAATCTGTCAAAATTCAAAACTATAATAAAATCCTATTAAAAGTTAAAATTATATTATATACTTATTAACAAATCTATCAAAATATAAGATTTTGATTTTTACCATTTGCTAAAATGAGTTTATCAGGTAATTATAGTTCTTTTATATTATATTTTAATGTTTAATTATTTTAGTAAAAATAAAATTCTAGAAAAAATTTTAAAACATATTTGTATTATATCTATAATTATACCTATAATATACTTTATAAAATTATATATAAAAATTATACAAAAAAAATATATTTAAAAATATATAATAGCTATGTATAGTGTAAATATTTGATAAAAAAATATCAAAATAAAGTAGCAAAAGATCCTTCTCAATCACAATTATATTGTGTTATAATAAGAATAGAAGCAATTGTTTTAAAGATTATCATACTCAAGTAGAATGATAAATAAATAGAATTTAAAATGCTTCAGTAATTTAAAATAAGATATTTTTTTTAAAACTTACTTTGCACTTTTATGATGGATTTTTACAAATAATTGATTTTTTAGGATTCTATGTAAAGTTAAAATCCAATTTTTAAATCTAAAAAATTAAAATAATAAAGTTGTTTCTTGTAATAAAATCTGTGAATTTTATTAAGGTTTAGGATAGTTATAACTTGATCCCAGTAAGATCGTTAAAATTTAAGATAAAATCGTGATACTTTTTAATAATGCAAGTTTTTTGGTCAATAGGTAATGTTTGATTTTTAATATATAATTGACAAATAATGATCGTTATCATATACTGTATTTATATCTATGACCAATCAGCAAAAAAAAATTTTAGGATTAGCTTTATTTTTTATGAAAATAGATCAGCAAATTTGGCTGCGATTTCTTACCATTTATTTATTAAAAAAAAAATTTTATTTTCATAAAAGTAAATCAGAAGGGAATTTATAGTAAATAAGCAGGTAAATTTGCCTGCGAATCCCTACAGTTTAAGGGATAAAAATTCATTACTTAAATTATCAAGTAAAAATTTGCCTGCAAAACCATTGAAGAGATAAGTTATATATATACACAGTATATTAAAATTTTTATTGCAACCTTTTACACATCTATAGAATATTAGATAGACGACCTTCACGAACAAAGTTTATCAAATCCATGAATGCCATAATCTGAATTGAAATTATAATTTGACTTGTGGTGGAATACACTATATTGTATTCAGCGAAATCCTGCTTTTTCAAATATATCCGTGACTTGTCTATAATGATCGGGACTTGAACTAAATGAAACAGTTAGTGCTGTTGCACCTAAGTCATACTGAATGATCCATTCAAAGGGTTTCATATACGTAAGCCATGCTAAAAAGTGTTATAATTCAGGTCAGAACAACGAAGGTGGCGAAGGAAAAGTTAGAGGTAATAGATAGCCAGGTCGTATTATTAAACTTATGAGAAAACTTTTTCAATTTTCTAACTATAAGAAAGATAAAACATTTTAATACGCATGTAGCACTTCGTAATACTAGTAAAATAAGAGAGAGAGAGAGAGAGAGAGAACCTCTATAAATATTTTATTTTTTTGAGAAATAGGAAGTTGTTTAAAGTTTATTTTTAGTATAAAAATAACAAAACTGTAATATAAATGGTACAAAAATTTTTTTCGCCATGTCTAATAACGTTAACAATATGATTTTGAATTTGAACTTTAAAGATTTAAAAATAAATTTTGACGGAAGGGCATTTTTAGTCAATGACTCATTAAAAATTTATTATTTGCTGTAAGTAATAGTAAAGTATGGTTGATGTAGGAGTTCGATAAAAGAAAAACCACCCATTGATCAAGGCGAAGTAGGTAAAAAGAAGTTTTAAATAAAATATTTAAAAAATTTTTGTAACTGTTTCTGTATAATAATATCAGGGAATTGTACATATGCACTCGTATTTGGCCGTAATATGCTCAGCCATGATCAAAGCATGAATAGGATTTTTGTTTTAAAAATCCGTTGCTTAAATAAATTGCGTCACGTGGAAACAAGTATTCCCTATCTATCACATGGCTAATTTCTTAATTTCTTAATGCTAGCGAATAATAATGTTAATGTCGGTCATGTCACGTGACACGTGTACATACACCCGTGTACAAATAGCCAAAAAAAAAAATGAGAGTCAAACTTTATAAATATTTAATCAATATGAAAAACTAATAAAAAAATAGACAAATAAATATATCGCACTAAATTAACCGTCTCTGTATAACCCTAACGACGTACAAGAAAAGTGGGT